GCATGATTGGAATGAAAATGAGAATTTCATTGTTTTTCTGGAGTTGAGCATGCCCACATGAAATTGTTTTTCCTTTTGCACTGAGTAGAGCATGCTTATTTGGAATTGACTGAACTGCTCTGATGAACTAAGAATTTTGGTAAATTCTGAGTTTTCTGTTAAATCCATGTTCACATGGAATTTTTTGGTTATTTATGAAATTTGAGATTGATTGTGAATTTCGGGTTTTTCTGTAAATCCTACATGGTTTTATCTCTGATATGGTCATGCTTACTATGCTCGCTAGTGGGAGGTTTATAAACGCTAGCATATGTCGACACGTTTTCTGATATGACCGGTCCATTCTATAATCCTGCTAATGGGATAATACATTAGTTATTACTGTCGCCTGTCAGTGGGAGTTGTTAAACACTGGTACTACTACTGTGCCCGCTAGTGGGAGGTTTATAACGTTGGCCGTGACCTATAGATGAGACTACTGATGAGTTTTATTATGCATGAAGGGTTTATCATTGAAAGTTTGTTATGTAAACTGTTTATCTGACATGCTTAAAATTTTTATCAAGGGCTATCCATATTTTACTTACTGAGATGTTTTATCTCACCTCGTTTTCCTTGTCCACCATTTCAGGTAGTGATACCCGACACATAGGGAGCCGGTGGAGTGACGAGCTAGACAACTAGACATTATTTTGGATTTAGATCTTTTGGAGTTAGGCCGCTAGTCTCACATGGCTGATAGAAATAACCATTTTTTTGTACAGAGTTCCCTTGGTTATAGCCATAACTATTTATAAACTTTTGTGTATCTGGAATAGTAAATTTTTGGTAATGGAAGTTAGATTTTACCTGAGTTTTTAGATTGAATTATCTGAATTGGAAATTAAGAACTCAGTAAGTTCTGAGCCTTGTGCATTCGTGGGACTTGTTTACGAGTGCATGGCGTCTGCCACGTCTCCGGATTTGGGTTCTGGGGCATGACAGCAGTATTGGAATTAAAAAAAGCAAAATTTACCTTACTTTTATTTTCAATCTTATTTTTCAAAGCATTATTGTATTGCTCCACAAACTACTTCAAATATGTCTGTAAACCTACATAACCATTAAAAAAAGCATTTATACGTACTTCTTTGAGTTGTAGACATTTTTGCCCAAAAGATATTTTTAATATACACATGAACCCAACAATATCTATCCTCATACAAGGAATTTAGCCACTCATTCTTTTCTAGACTATAATCCTTAGTCATTTTACTCCATGCTCCTTCAAACTCACCAACATTAATGGACTCATAAGCTGATCTTTTGAAAATTGTCTTCACTTCTTTGTATTGACTGAGTGCACCAAGTTTATTTGGAATCTTTTCTCATTATGTGCCAAAGATAGAGTCGATGATGAGAATGTGAAAATAATTTTTCCATTACTACCTGGATTGCATTGATTTGTAATAATTGCTTTGGGATAACAACCTTACATACATTCCAACCATGAGTTAAACAACCAAATATAAGTTTTGGTATACTCATTTGATAACAAACAAATAGCACTATTTGTCCATAATGGTTTGCACCAACATATGGTGTAAATGGCATATCATATTTATTAGTTAGGTATGTGATGTCCAAGAATATAACATCAACAAAAGATTCATATGCTGCTCTTAACCTTGCATCAACCCAAAATACATTTTTCAAGTGGCCTTCTTCATCCATATTGATAACATGGAAGAAATTTGGATTTCTCTTTTGCATGCAAACAAAATAATTACCAAGTGTTTTTGCATCACTAGACTCAAGTCTAAGTTATCTTGATTTGGTAATATAATAATTTGTGTAATCTTTCTTAGTAAATGGTAGATTCTTATATCTTCCAGCCTTTACAACCAATGAATGAAAATTTTTATTCAATGAAATCCTGGCTTAATCATTTATTTCTAGGCTTTTTTTTAAAATATGAATCCATCTTCTTATGGCATTGAAAGAAGCATGATATTTTTGGATTGAGTGGGTGATTATGCTCCAAAAAAACTCTAGAGATGATGAAACTTCTTTCATTACTTACCTTCACATTAATCTTATCCTTGCATCCAATTTTAGTTGATGGCTTAAGTCTTCATTTTCCACATTCTTTCTCTTCCCAAAATTAGAACAAGCAAGGACATAGTATTTTATTTGGCTATTATCTCCACTCTTTGAAACACCCCATATACTTTAGTGAATATATTAGAAATTAGAATCCTTTATTTTAAAGTTTTGGAGATTAAATGAATTAGATTTAGAGTTTAGAGGTTGTAAATGAAATTTAGGAGTTGAAGGATGTTTAACTTAATTATTTTAATTTTTGTGCCCAATGGCATTATATCTACCAAGTAAAACTATTTGCTTGCACTTAGTAAAAAGCCTCCTGAACCATTCCTTTGCAACTTTCCTTCTTCTTCCAGCCATTTCTGCATCCATCTTTCTTTTTGCAATCAGGAGGATAGTTATGTATGGGGAGGCACCCTCCAGTTGAAATCTCTTTCAATCTCTATTGTTGGTCTCAGTTTCGTGCTTTAATTTCCATAGATAAGTATGAGTTTTAGCTATAAATTTGGATTAGAGTTTTGGATAAATCATAGAATTTGTATAATATATTAAACACTAGTTTAAGTTAGTAAAATTTGACTATAAATCTTTTATTTAAGAGATTTTTGGGTATTAGAATTTTGTTTAAAAATATTTGAATTTTTAGGTATATGTACGATCTTGAATTAGAAGTAGGTTTTAGTTTTATACTTGAATCTTGTGTGAATTCCATTGGTTATTTACTTGCTAGTGTTGTTTTGATATTTTTTTATACATTTATGTGAAGACTTTTGGAAATTTCATAATAAAGCAGAACCTGTGAATGCTTAAATTGGAGTTTGGGTGTTGCCCATGACTTGTTGCACTTCAATCTTGGTTGATTAATTATGCATTGTTAAGATAAGAAATTAATTTTCACTATTGTTAATGAAATCTACCATTAGGCATGTAGATATTAATATGAATCTTTTTAGAATACCATTGACTAAGTAAAATATTAAATGAAATAATATTCTTATATTATTTTGAATGTGTTTTGAATTTGTTTGACATTTGTATGTGTTTGTGGTTATAGAGTAAGTGGACCTAAGCTTAAAGCTTGGGGTATTCAGTGAACCCTTTGGGTAATTAGTGGACATCTGTGTAGTACAGTGAGTGCCGTGATTAGCTTCGGTGCAAGTGTTGTTAGCACACATCAGTGGACTCCATAGCACTGTGTGATTTTTGTTTTATGCATTATGCTTGTGACATCACATTTGTGAGCATATGATTTTATGATATGAATTTAATTTAAATGTCATTGGTTATTCCTTGACATGTTTGATTATCTATGAGCTAATTTGTTATATTAAATTATTATTTAAATATTAAGATTTATAATATTATGTGGCTTGGCTTAATTGTCTATCATGCCTTTGTGTGTATAGGTCTAGGACCCTTAGTAGTTTTAACTTAATACTTACTGGACTTTTGGGTCATGATATTTTTCCCCAATTTAAGATCAGTAGATTGAAGTAGCAGCCATTCAACTTGAGAGCTTTCGGTATAGGTCTCATATGCTCGTTGTACGTAGAAGCTAGGACCTTTTGATGTGAAGGCAAATTAATGTATTACTAAAACAATGATTCTAGTTTTATTTTTTTGGGAAGTTTTTGAAAAGCACTTGTTCTTGCATCCATTTTTGTGTAAATTACTTTATGTATTTAATCTATAAATTAATGTTAAGTGGGCTCAGCTTATGTTATTTCATAAGTTTGAGTATTTTATATCCTATTTCTTTTGTAAAATACATTTTGCTAAATTAATTTTCCATTTGCAAGTTTTTTCTTTCAGTATTTATATTTTTAGATGATAGGCAACAAGGTTCTTTTATAAGGACTTATTTTATACTTTAAAGTGTTTTATTTCAGTTGCGTTATTTTTCTAAAAGTTTTAGATAAGCACTTCCACAGGACCAAGGGTACCCAAGGGAGGTATGTTACATGTTTCGGTATCAAATCCAAGGTTCTGCTAATACATTAATCTGCCATGTGGGTTAGAGTTTAGTGTCATAGGATTAGATTTTCGCATAACTATTAGTTTTTGCACTTTTTATTTATATCAGTACCAAAGGAGAAACGTGAGTCAATGAGGCAATACTTGTACTCCTACTACTACTAATGATGTGAATGCCAAAAAGAGTAATGAATAGGTTGAAGTGCATGTAAAACTAGAATGAGATTTAGTGTTTAACTATGAGAGATGACTGTTAGAAGCATTTCATAATGTGTACTACATGTTTTGCTGGGATACTACACTAATTTCTTATCCAAATGTAGCAAAACAAGAATTAAAAATAGAAGAGAAATGGAATTATTCTCTTTCATGTGAACATAAGTGGTTAGTAAGTATGAGAAGACTTAGCTAAATCTAGGCAGATGCCTTTAGAAGTAGGGATGGCAATTTCCTCCATGACTTGCAGAGCTTCACGGATTTTCCTACCATGGAAATGGAGATTCCAAGAATATTCCTCTCCGTGTGATGGGAATGGAGGCATTTTTTTTCTCGTGAAATTTCATGGGGAATTTTCTCCACCCCGTGGGGAACCGTGGAGGTCCATATAAAATAAATAAATATATATATATTGAATATATTAACAATTAATTTTTACTTACTCAACCTAATTAATTGATCAATTCATTCTTTTTTCAGTTTTTCCAAACCTAATTATATAGTCCAGTCCAGTCCAGCCCAGAATCTTCTTAAACTTAATTGCCCAAGCCCAACCTAATTTGCTAGTAACCTTAGAACTAAAAAGACTATTTCATATTTTTGAGATTTGCGAATCTGCTCTACAATTCCTTCTCTCCAGACTCTAGTCTCCTCTCCTCTACGTTGTAGCTCACTGGCTTTGTTTTTGTTCTTCAATCGGTCAATTCCCTTCAACCTATCATTCTCGGCAACTTTCAAAAGGTAGTGCCCATAGCTCTGTTTCTATTCTTTAATCGACTACTTGCAGCTTGCCTGAGCTTGAATTGTAAGTATTTGTGAGTATCTGAGTATCTATGCTTGATGATTTATTTTAAGGTGAAGCAGATCTCATTCTTTTGGCCTTATTATTTCTGATTTCATTTTCCCTCCAATTGTTCGCAAGATTGTCATAATGCGATTTTTGTTGTTTATATGCCCACGCAGCTTTTTTCTTGCATTCGTAGTAAACGATAATCATATTGTTATTTTGAGGCTCATTCAAGCTCTTAATTCATTCTATCTTCAATTAATTTCTCAAACAAGAAACGAGCATCGAGTTTTATTTGGTGGGGACTCCAAATACTCGCAGAAACCTATTATTCCCTCGGGTATAGGGACGGAGGCTATTTTTTATCCTTTGCCAAAAATCCCCATGGAAATCCCCGTACCCGTCATTGACGAGGATGGGGATGGGGATGGGGAGAGGGTCCCCACATCCGTAGGGACCCGTTGCCATCCCTACTTAGAAGAATAATGTGATGAATCAAAGACAAAAATTTATTAAAATTTTATGAATTACTTAAACCCTTTAGGATGCAAGTAGTGAATTTGCATAGCTGAATTTTTGCATGCAATAATTAATATGCAAAGATAAAGAGTTAGGAAGAAGGCTGAACCTTCATTGTAGATATTTATTATAATACGTAGTACATTAGCTAGTAGCTGCTAGATGAGTTAAAAAAAGGAGGAATAAAGGGAAAGCAATAACACAGGGGTGTTAGATGCTAAAATGGAGGAATACATGTCACGTGCGACCTAACATTTGTACCATCCTCTTTGTCTTTGGTTGCTCAAAGTCTGTTATGTTACCTTAGGCCTCACTAACATATAGAGTCTATGGTTGAATAAGATTATGCGAATAGAATTTTGTCATGATTGTTTAGTCTAAAATTAAACTAGATGCAAGTCAGAGTGAAGTATTAGCTATTGATGTTTTCTAGTATTTGTGACCCTTTAGTATTGGTTATAAACTATGGCCAAAGGGTGGGATGACCAGGTATGCTTTGTATGCTTTGGTGATTGTGTGCTTATTAAATGTGTCTACTATGGATTATGCTAAACACTAGGAGGGGTCGGACTAGTATCTAAGTTTATGATTAGCTGAATTATGAACCCTATTACAAGCATAGAAGGAAGAAAAAAATAGCAAAATGGAACTTACTGTTAGTACATGGAAGGTGGTATTAAGGAATGGCGAAAAAGTCTTTATGATTATGGTTTAATTATCCCCTGCTTTTATTTCAAAGCAAAGAGTATGTATGTTAGGATTTCAAAAGGAGTATGATATTGTCAATTTGTAAACTCTTGTTTTACTTAATGCCAGTTAATAATTGCAGAGTTAATTGGTATAAGGATATATTTAATGAAGATTGATTGCATTTTGGAATAATTTGGAATTGTGTGGAGTGAAATAAGTGTTGAAAGTAAGTTCCAGTATATATAGGGGTGTTAACTCCTATTATAGACTTTCTGATTTAATATAATCAAGTAGTAATTATAGAGGCATTCCTTGATTGAATTATATTGTGTAAGGTTGGTTGTACCTTGTTAATTGTGAATATATTATTAGTTAATGTCAAATGTTCAACTTCATGAGTTGAAAGACATGGATTGAATTCTTGTGATGCACAAGAATTTTCAGTTAACTAATGATAGAATATGCCAACTCTATCGTATTGAGATCCTTAAGCTATGCTTAAGAAGAGTACCGTATGTACTGTTTATGAATGAATCTCATGGATTATATGACATGAGGTTATTGTTATTTGATGTCAACATGCTTAAGAATACTAGCGAAATCTTATAAACTACATGCTATTGGAAATCTGATTTGTGAGTGCTAGAGAGATGATGATCTTTTACTCATGACTGGGTAAAAGGATGCTCCTAAAGTTATCTAGAACATTGTTATGTATGTGTATATGTGTTAATTTTTTAATAGAATTACAAGGCTCAGAATTGTTCATAGTGAGCAAATATTAGCGTAAATAAACATGTTCCTTTTTTATGCCTGTGCAAGAAAAGGATGAATGGCAGAAAAGTTATTATTTCTACCTAAGCTTCTATAGATATTAGAATGAAAGTAATGTAGGAATTCATTCCAAGTTGAGCACCACTGTCAAGGGATATTTGCATATTAAACTAGAAAACACAAAATAGTCCTTACAAGGATTTCTATAGGAGTGAAGGCAAGTTACCTATCTATTTCACAATTACAACTTCTGATTTTGTTGTTTATGTTGCATTAAGCCTATTATGCATTTGATTTTAAAGAAACCACTTTGGATTGTATCTCTTATGAGAGAATTTAGGTATAACTGTTTTTTTTGTAAGTTACTTTAATATGTGTGGATTTTCATCACTAATTCCAAATTTTCTTACTTATTCTCCAAATGTTTTATCAAGAGTTATTTGCATAAGTTAAAAGTTAAAAAAAAAAAAAATTCTCTTATGTAAAAAAGCTATAGAAGTCTAAGAATTGACTTACCGAATTTTTTTTTTCAAATTTTTTTCGAACTTAAATATTTTATCCAAAATGTATGATGTGGTTTGAGGTGTGGTGCATTTAATAAAGGAAGTTTCTAATTGAAACTATATTGGTTTCTAAGTTTTTTGCAACACATTAGTTTCAAAACCTTTTGATGTTTAAAGTTTTCACCAAGTTGTTTTTAAAGTGCATGCATGTAATTGTAAAGAGTTTGAAATCATCATATCATGATCTTTAATTGTGATAGCTTTGAGCACATCGTTTGTAGAGAGGATTGAACTTCCCCAACTGATATTTAACCTTATTTCTGTTAATACCATAGAAATTAGAACAACCAATTTGTTTATTCCATCATGCATATGTATACAAGGAAACTGAGTTGGCTATATGTATTTTGGATGGTAAGATAGACTATATGAGTCTGCTATCCAAGAAAGAGTTAACAAGGATAAGCACCAGTTATATGGATAGAATTTGTTTATGGTTCTCACAAATTGTTATGAGATTATAGAGTAATGATCTATGAGAAAGGGTTTAAGGGTTGTAAATGAAATTTAGAAGGAGTTGAAGGATGTTTAACTGAATTATTCCAATTTTTTGCCGAGTGGCACTATATCTACCAAGTAAAACTATTTGCTTGCACTTAGTAAAAAGCCTCCTAAACCATTGCTTTGCAACTTTCCTTCTTTTTTTAGCCGGTCCTGTATCCATCTTTCTTTTTGCAATCGGGAGGATAGTTATGCTAAAGTTGTATGGGGATGCACCCTCTAATTGAAATCTCTTTCAATTTCTACTGTTTGTCTCAGTTTTGTACTTTAATTTCCATAGATAAGTATGAGTTTTAGCTATAGATTTGGGTAAATTATAGACTTTGCTATAATATACTAAAAATTAGTTTAAATTAGTGAAATCTGACTCTAAATTTTTTTGTTTAAGAGATTTTTGGGTATTAAGATTTTGTTTAAAAATATTGGATACTTGGATATATATACGGTCTTGAATTAGAAGTGAGGTCTTGAATTAGAAGTGAGGTCTTGAATTAGAAATGAGTTTTAGTTTTATGCTTGAATCTTGTGTGAATTCTATTGGTTGATTACTTGCTATTGTCATTTTGATATTTTCTTGTACATTTATGTGAAGACTTTTGGAAATTTCACGATAAAGCAAAACCTGTGAATGGTTAAATTGGAGTTTAGGTGCTACTCATGACTTATTGCAATGAGTTTTGGCTGGTTAATTATGCATTAATTGCATTGTTAAAATACGAAATTAATTTTCACTCTTACTAGTGAAATCTACAATTAGGCATGTAGATATTAATGTGAATCTTTTTAGAATGCCATTGACTAATAAAATATTAAATGAAATAATATTCTTATATTATTTTGAATATGTTTTGAATTTGTTTGACATTTGTATGTGTTGTAGCTATGGAGTAAGTGGACCTAAGTTTAAAGTTTGGGGTATTCAATGGACTCTCTGGGGTAATTAGTGGATCTTTGTGTAGTATGGTGAGTGCCATAATTAACTTCGGTACAAGTGTTACTAGCACACATTAGTAGACTCCATAGTATTGTATGATTTTTGTTTTATGAATTATGCTTCTGACATTACATTTGTGAGCATATGGTTTTATGATATGAATTTGATTTAAATGTCATTAGTTATTTCTTTACATGTTTGATTATCTGTGAGCTAATTTATGATATTGAATTATTATTTAAATATTGAGAATTATAATATTATGTGATTTGGTTTAATTGTTTATCATGCTTTTGTGTGTATAGGTCTAGGACCCAAGTTGGTAGCTTTAACTTAATACTTATTGGGTTTTTAGTTTATGATATCTTCTCCCAATTTCAAATTAGTATATTAGAGTAGTAGCCATTCAGTTTGAGAGCTTTCAATATAAGTCATGTATGCTCGTTGTACGTAAAAGTTAGAACATTTTGATGTGAAACCAGATTAATGTGTTATCAAAATGATTATTCTAGTTTTATTATTTTGGAAAGTTTTTGAAAAGCACTTGCTCTTACATATATATTTTTGTGTAAGTTGCTTTTATGTATTTAATTTATAAATTAATGTGGACTCAGCTTATGTTATTACGTAACTTTGAGTATTTTATATCTTTTTTTTTTAAAAAAATATTTTGCTAAGTTGATTTTTCATTTGCAAGTATTCTTCTTTCATTATTTATATTTTTTGAGGATAGGAAATAGGGTTTTTTTATAAGGACTTTATTATATTTTAAAATGTTTTATTTCTGCTGCATTATTTTTCTAAAATTTTTAGATAAACACTTCTACGGGACCAATGGTATCTAAGGGATGTGTATTACACTCTTCACACTTCTCTTAACTATACCAAATCCTTTTTGTTGAGCATATGAATTGAAAAAAATTAAAGAGCTCTTCTTTTGAATTAAAAGCAACACTTAATGTTGGAATAACTAAAATATGATTTGAAATTTCTTCTAATTCTTCTTGTTTACCTTTTAGAGTGCTTTCAATTGCAAGATGATTAGGATACAATTTGAGTAAATTTGAAAGTAAACAACTAATCAAAGCAAATTAAAAATTATTTTTTTAATAGGACTTATGAAAACTAATAAAAAAGAAAACTGTTTGAAGCTTAGCTAAGATAGACAATTATTGCATGCAAGCAAAATTGTCTATATATATATATGCAATTTATCATCTTCTATCAAATTAGTTAAGAATTTAAAAGTAAAGGAATTACTTTCATTTTTAGAGAAGCTAGTAGATTTGTTGGCATCGAAAGCGATTGATAAGTTGAGAAAGACGTAAGTAGGATAAGTCATGCAAAATAGATGAGCAAGGGCTTTTGTTGACACCAAGATGCAGCAAACAAGCGAGAGATGTAAGTGGGGAAGAAGCCACTGTAAACAGGGGACTGCAAGTTGCAAATTGAGAATATGGTTATTTTTACTTTGATAATTAAATTTGAAAATAATTAGAAAAGAGGAATTTGAAGTGGATTCAATGGAAATTGATGATGACATAGCACAAACCATGTTGGATCGTCTTTCATTCGGTTTGGAAATAGTTGGTCTTCCTAGCATTACTCTAAATTTTGCCTTATTACCTCAAACTAGAAAAAATGGAAGATAAAAATTCAAATATTGAAAACTGAGGGGCAAAACCCCCCAAATCCAAAAAGTTCAAGGGCAGAGTGGGGGTTTTGCCAGCGTTGATCCTTGGTTCTTTATGCTGACAGCTGAGCTAACCGACACACCGCGACAAAATGGATCGCCCCTCGAGATCTTGTCGCACCCGCAAAACCCTAACCAAATCTGAACTCCACTCCACTGTTGTCATCCACTCTGGCTCCGACTCCGACTCCGACTCCTGCTCCGACTCTGACTGTGATGCACGCAAATCGCAAATGGACCCTTACGCCACAATGCTCTACAAAGACGATCCCATGGACGACGACGACGATGATTCATCCTTACCTCCACTTCTCAAACGCCTCCCTAAAGATTTCGGAGGCAGCGGTGGCGCCTTAACTGACGACGACCACGCCGATGATTTCGGAACCATGATCGTTAAAACCGGCTCTCGTCATTCCTCATCTGCGTCCAAGCCCCCTGCCTCAATGAGTCCGAAGACGATGAGGAGGATAGAAATGGATGATGACAACGATGGTGATGGTGGGGAAGGGTTTGGGACATTCGTGGTGCGGTCCACGACGTCTAGGGAGAGGGATGGCAACGGGAGTGTTGTGAGGAGGGCAGTGGCGAGCATGGAGGAGCTGGGATTTGGGAAGCAGAGGACGTCAGGTTCTGCTTCCGCTTTGCAAGGAGAGGAGAATCGATATCATCAGAATACTAAGGTCTCCTCGAGTTCGATTCCTGATAGTGTCACCAGAGAGGATCCGTCCACTAAGTATGAGTTGCTTCATGAGCTCGGTGAGATGATTAATGTTCATCATGTCAAATTAAGATTCTTTTTTTCGTTGTGAAAGCAACCTCAAATTTTGAGCTAATAATGGTTTCAGTTTTCTTTTGGTTTTATCATTACCGAGCGTACACTTGTGTCACAAACTTATGTCCTGCAAATTCAGATGGGGCTTCAGGAAATTCTGGACTTTTGGTTGTGCGTTGGAACTATCTTATTTAGATTTAGAAGGAACTTTGTTAGCATTTATTTTTCCTCTTTAAAGGAAACGGACACTCACTTTGGATATGAGATGGCAGGAAAAGGGTCATATGGGGCTGTTTACAAGGCTAGAGATGTTAAAACTTCAGAGCTTGTAGCTATCAAAGTAATATCATTATGTGAAGGGGTGTGTATACTTTCTTATTTGCAATTATATCCTGTTGATGTGGTGGAACTGCTGGGAATGATCTATACTTTTTCTATCCAGGAAGAGGGATATGAAGAGATTCGTGGTGAAATTGAAATGTTGCAGCAATGTAGTCATCCAAATGTTGTCCGTTACCTTGGGAGTTATCAAGGGGAGGAGTATCTTTGGGTAGGTGCAGAATTTCAGTATTGTCAATCATCTGGTTTGATGGCTTAAACAGGAATTGGAGCTAGTGCTGCACTTTAGTGAAGCATGAAGCGCCTGAAGTCGGTGTTTCTATTAAGTTTTTCAATTTGACAAAAATAACCCATTTAAATAATAATTTAGCCAATGGATATCAAATTTTAAAGGGAAAAAAGTGAACTTTTAATCATTTTAGCCTAAATAGGAGTAATTAAAATAAGAAGAGCGTGCTCATCCTATTTTTCTTTCTTCCTTGCTATTGCGTTCTCTTGTTCATTGCTGCTGTGTGCATTCTCATTGTCAAAAACCCTGGCTATTTCTTGCTTACTGGAGTTTCTCCAGGTATTCTTACTCTTTCTCTTGTTTTTCACTGTATTTTTAACTTTTCCCTCTGCTTTCTTCTTCTTTTCCTTGTTTCTCTTTTGGTAAAATCATGGAGTCAACTGACTACCCTTCCCGTGTTTTGAATCTCTCTTTTGAAGATATACATATCATCATATAATATATTTTTTTAATTGCCACATCACTTTAATGAAGCATCCGCTTTGCTTTACACTCCACCACTTAAGCGTTTCGTTGGCTTTAAACTGCTTTACGCATTTGACAATGCTGGAATAGTTATTATTTTTATTGTAAAACAGTACCACTATTTTTGGATTTTGTAGGCTGCGTTCTTTTGGAATTTAACTTCTCTTTTTCAATAGTCTGCTTCTGTTCTATGTTTGGGCAGATAGTGATGGAGTATTGTGGAGGTGGTAGTGTTGCCGATTTGATGAATGTTACCGAGGAGCCTCTGGAGGAGTATCAAATAGCATATATTTGTCGAGAAGCCTTGAAGGTATTTGTGCATCAATTTGTTTTGAATATTTTAATTGCTTCTAATTAGAAAGTATATGCTTGCTTATGGATAGCCTTAAGCCCTGTAAAAATTCTAGGAGTGATTTACTTTCTTTCCATTTTCTAGTAGAGAAAAGATTATTTTCTTATTCACTTATCAGAATCATTGGTTACAGTCCCCCCCCCCCCCCTCCAACCTTGCTCATTTTCTTTTCACTTGAATTATAAGGTCTATAGGATATAAATAAATGGTTGTGATTATTTGATATAAATGGTAGTATTTCTTGTTATATGAATAGCTACAGTTCAGAATGTAGGATCACGTGTCTCTTCTTTTGTCATTTGTTTAATATAATATGGTCAGACATATGCCTGCTATTGAGCATGATGTAATATTTGCAATGTAAAAAGGCATGTCCTTTTGGTATAAAGTAATAAACTAAACTAATAACTAAGCTTAGTTACCTTACCCACTGATAAATAATAACTTTTTTTAAGAAATGCAGTGATGAATATCAATTGATTGACATATTTTCAATTTCTTCTTATGTAGGGCCTTGATTACTTGCACTCAATTTTCAAGGTCCATAGAGATATTAAGGGTGGCAATATCTTGTTAACTGAACAAGGGGAGGTCAAGTTGGGTGAGTACAGTTAATGATATATTCATGCTGAATTAATAGAAGTCTCCAGTTAATTTAGGTTGGGTGACTAATGAGTTCTAGTTTTATGCATCTTTTTTCATTCCGTTTGTCTGATTGATTGCTATTTTGCTATAAATACTGATATTTTCTTATAAATACTGATATTTTCTGTTGTAATGAAAAGTTTTAGCTCAGGACCATCTTTTTCCTTTCTTTATAAATATGTGGGATAAAAAGGTTATATTGCTTGATGTGGGATCTAGGATGGGCTAATATGGAAATAACCTATGTTTTAGCTTTTTTTGTACAAATTATTTGTCTGCTTGACTTGACCCCATGCTTTTGACTTTAAAGCTTTAGTCTCTGGCTCTTATTGTATTACAATAGACTTTGGAATTTAGAGAAATTAAAAATTTGCATTAATGAATTCTGTGAGTTTTTTGTGTTAAGGTGCGGCAGGACATATTATAGAAACAAAAAGTTACATATACGACAACATGCATGGTTGTCGAGGAATATGTTCAATTTCCCTTGTCTTTAACTTTATCAATATTATTTTATGATTAATTTACTTGTCATATTGACATAGAAATCCAATTTTATTAATTTGTATTTTGGCAATGATAAACAGGTGATTTTGGGGTCGCTGCACAGTTGACAAGGACCATGTCAAAGCGTAACACGGTAAATTATAAAGTTTACATTAGATTTTCTATTGAGCATCAGTTAGGCTTTTGCCCTGGGTTCTTGGTAGTTTCCCTTTTTTTTTTTCTTTTTTTTCGTTTATTTTGCGATGCATGGCTAGAATATTATTCCTTGGCAGAGTTCTGACAATAGAGAGATTATTTTGTCCATGGTTAAAATTTTTACCATTTACTTTTTACAATACTAGTTGGACTACCCCACTTTCTTGGGTATGGCTATTTTTGAGGTCCCTTGGCATTCATTAAAAGAAAATATAATCTGACCTATGCAAGTGTGTGGTTAACATTCAAGTCATGCACAGCATAAAACTGTATTGTATCACTATGTTTTAATATTTATTACATGCATTGCGAGTTGAAAGTGCAAAGAACACTTTTAGGGAGTTTTAAGAATTGTTAAAATCATGTGCCCTTTTGGTTTGCATAAAACTAATGCAAAAAAGAAAAAAATTGAAGAAGATTTTTACATTTTTATCGTTATATCCATCTTAAATATTGAAATTTAGTGGATAGTGCTGGAATTAAAAGAGGATAAAAATCTAATAAATCTACAATATAATATTCCAATGCATATAACATCCATAACATACTTCGCATGGTAGTTGGTAACACATGGTAAAGAACAAATGCAAGAATTCTACACCAAAATGAAAGAACTTTTCAGCAATAGCCAAAAACCAAGGCACAAGAGAATTACATGTACACGAATTTTAGGTCCAAATTCAAGCTTCCATAGCTATCTGCTACAACAAAAATAAAAACTTTAGCAACAGCAGAGTTGGTTATTGTGTTTATAGAAGAGTGGTTGCAAGCCTTAATTCTTTCATTGTTGTATCTCAATTCATGGCTTTTTACATCAGTGTTTGGTTCTTTAAGAAATTAAAAAGGAAAATGAATGCCATAAATAGAAGTGTACATAAGATTGAACTAAGTTATAATAATATTTTATGTTTTAAAGTTTAAATAAATTCTTCTGAACTCCCCTGGTTCAAGTATTGGTCTCCTTAAGGAAAATTTGCCTTGTAATTATTTTTCTCTTTATCTCTTTAAGTAAATAGACTCGTCACAAAACCAGAAAGGATCAACTTATTAAAATAAATAAGCAAAGCCAAGATCAAATTATCAACTTACATTTGTCAAACACTTTTATATGTTCTGGTCAGTCCACTATTTTGGTTTTTTGCTCCCCTTTGTCCAGTGTTGGGCGGCAGCAGTTTGCTATAAAATGCAATTTATACAGCATTATCAAGGGAAACAGAAATGAATAAGCATACCACATAAGGCATTAACAGAGATTACTGAAGTATTTAAAAAATATCATGTGTAAAACCTCTGTTTAACCAAGATATAAAATAGCTATCTAAGTGAATACCATCCAAAATTAACAAAGTTAGTTAGTAATTTAACATGCATACTCAAAATATACTGCAATGTTTAACATTTCCTTATAAAAGACAAACCTAGAAAAGGACTGACCTCCTCACATTTGTTCAAGTCAACAAAAAAAAATAAAAGAAAAGCCAAGCTAGAAAGACCCAGAAAAAGAGAGTTATTCAAAGGAATAATCAATCTTTGACAACCCATCTCAAAGAATGGATAATTATGAAAGAAGGAAAAAAGTATGCCAACAAATGAGAAAAAATTATGCAAAAATGATAAAAGAAAGATGCTTCAAGTTTTAGTATCCAAAGAAGCTATGGAATGAATCAGTGTGAAGAACCTTAGTGACAGATATATAAGGGAAGACATAGGGTAGATGGAATAAGAGGGCCTTTATTAAATTGATTTTTTTTTTTTTAAATTTTTGGCCATACCTGATTAAATTGATTATTAGCAAGATTTTGCATTCAAAAAGAAGCTCCTGAAAATCACTGCCAAAGTCAGAAGCAGAACAAAAAGAAAGGTTATAGAAAGAAATAAACACATAAGGCATACAGTGGCAGTAAATTTGGAGGAAGACCATAAGGTATGTCAGCAGCAAGATTTTTTTTTCTCAAGTCCCTGTAGATTTTGTCAAATATTAGTATGAAGGCGGCCTAATAAAAGAGAGGAAACCATACGACCCTCAAAAGAATATTGATTCTTACAGTTCAATCAATGCCATTAAACTTCCACAGAAATCAGTCACTCACGCCCACTAAATAGGGTTAAAGTAAGTGGCTTATTGAGTGGCCAAGTTTCTCCACAGAAATCAATCCCTCACACCCACAAAGGTATTTCATGAAATTTAATAAGAAAGCTGCTCTTAGAATTAATAGAACACATTTATTTATCAATTGAGTTATATGCGCATAACTGCAATCAACAGAAAGGCACTAAATTTCTCCATTAAACCAAAAACTAATGGCCAGCTACCCCATTATCACTTAATAATCTCAGCCTCAAAACTCATGCCCAAAAAGAAAACATGTAAAAAGAATATGAAAACTTGTTTAGTTAATAAAGTTACAGGGAAATAGGCCATACCTGGATGGAATTGCTGTTACATGCTGTCCATTCAACAAATAACCTTTGCAGATTATGCCTCTGTAGAAGCCAATTGATAGAAAAATTTTGGAGCATTTTAATTGAAAACACCAACATTAGCTATTAGGATCAATGGGTATTATCTTTGGCTGAGCACAAGTGAATTCCCAAGTGTAGAAGTTCCAACATCGATTCACTTGGGAAGATATAGGGAAAGGTTGAACAAACAATCAGTTGAAATTCATATCTAGTGAGAAAACAAAAGGAGTCATATGAAAAAGCATTTTGCAAGAGAAACTTATAATAGAAACAGAGAATGAATAACCCATCTCACCGGACAGAAATCCTTCCTCCTGAATCTTCTCCATGCTTATTGCTATTACATTTTTCAAACCCTTTCACAACAATCTTTGTGGATCTTATTCATCATTTCACTTGAAAATTTAAATAAATTAGAAAGCTTTGTAGATTAAATTAATCATGAAAAAAAAAAAAAAAGCATTTTCTCATCCAAGCATTTCTAAGTTTATACCAAATACAAAACAAAATTAATAGCCTGAACCTGATGGCAAAAGAAAACACCAATCACTCTGGGGTAGCCAGAGCTTGATAATCTTAATAGTACTAAAGTAGGGATATCCATAACAACAAAATCAAAATCACACCACTCAATATAAGATCTACAACATTCCATTCTGTTTTGGTTTGACAGGAAGAGATTAGAGATTAGAAGAACATATCCAAAATACATTGAGATATTGATCCAGAGAAAATAAGATGTCTACTGAAAACTAAAATGTGAAACATTGGCATCATTCACACACATATAAGCAATGCCTTAGACCTGGATCAAACCCATTTCCACCTAAACAACTCCATACTCAGGGCAAGAAATGAAAATGCAAAGAGTTAGAGGGAAAACAACTTCCATAAATTTATCTCCTTGGGAACCAGATGTGCAAATCAAATCTAAATAATAACCATAAAAAATTGAATTAAATAAGATTGGAGAAAAGGGGGACATTCTTATGCCTTCTGTAAAGGAATCTAGTGGAAAGGAGAGTGCTGGAGTGGCTCCTTGTCCATATCCTTTGATTTCTTATAAAAAAAAAAAAATTGCTAAATACAAATCCCATTGTCAGTTTAAACCAAAGAGAAAATGACAAATAAAAAGATGAATAAAAATAAGAGAAAAAAAGGAAAAAAAAAAAAAAAAACTCACTGCACTACCAGTGGAGAACCTCCCTCATTCTTCCCAACATCATTCTCTTCCCCAACTTTCCTGTTCTCCCATTCTTTCTATAGATCTCAATCGGATTCAACTCATACGCACCATAGGAGAGGACCTAGAGTAGGTGATGTTCTTTTCCCTTTGAGTCTTCCTGGCACTCTCACTGTCTCTCCTTCTTCACTTGTTCAACATTGCAGCAGTGAATGAGAATTAGTAGAGAACAATTGGGTTAGAAGCGACCAAGGAGGAAGAAGAGGGGAAAGGAATGCTGAAGTGAGCATCAGGGAGGATAAGGTGATTGGGTGTGGCTGAAGAAGGGCTTTGTGGTTCAAATGCGGGATACAGAAAAGGGGTACGGTAAAGCAATTTCAGAATCAAAAGTCAAATATGAAATTGTCTTCCAATGTTCCCATTCTGGCGCATTCAATTTCTCTTTGCACAATTGACAGACCACCCTATTCATTACAAAGGAAAGCCTTAGGTAAGCATTTTTGGCCAAGCCTTGCCTTTGTTTCCTCTTTGCTGATACCACAGCTTGCATGATAAAATCCTCAATGCCCACAAAAAGCACAGAAAGAGAAATATCTTTCCTTGAACAAATGAACAAAATCAGATCTTAAAGAACCAACCAAAGGACAAAAGCCCAATTCTCAAAGATAGAGTAACAAAAGATGACTATGGTATGGATTATAACACTCGGCAAAAAGACAAAATCAATCAAGAAAAAAAAAATAAAAGGAGCAACAGATGAGGGGCAAAAAGGACAATTACCTTTGAATCTTGCCTTGAGAGAAGTTGAAGCCCAGCAAGTTGCATAAAATTATAAAAAATGCTGCCAGTGAGACTGGAGGTCACTGTAGCAAATGTGAGGGGTGCGTTTCTTTTTTGATGGAAAGACCAAAAGCCCAGAGGATAAGGGAGAAAGGGAGAAAGAAAGAATCAAGTGCAAAACAAGCAAAAAAAGCTTGTGACAGACAAGGTTTGTGAAAAGACCAGAAGACCAGAGCAAAATAAGGTAGAAAGGGAGAAAGAGTCAAGGGCAAAACAGGCAAAAAAAAGCTTGTGAGAAGAGGGGGCCTTCCTCCCATTAACTATTTTGGTTAGAGGTACCAAGGTCTTACAGGGTGAATAATAACTTTTATATCAGAGCATTCTTTATTTTATTCTGATATTAAACCACAGTATCTCCTCCTTCCATCAAGAGAGGCCTTTAAATAGGTCATGAAGGAAAAAGGATGGTGAGTTGGAATTTATGGCCAAAGTGATGCTGAACAAGTTAGTGATATGATAGGCTTAAGGATTTAGCGATGTTTGAGGGGAAGTTTAGACTATGAACAGTGTGTCTAATAGTGAAAAGAGATTAAGAAAGAATATAGTTTAGAAGAGAGGGAAAAATGATAAAGAACACTAGGAGTCAAAGTCACACCTAGGTATGGTTAGGAATCACAGCTAGGTACCCTTAGGAATCACACCTGTGGTTGATTGTTTCTCACAATCAAGATTGCATCACACACTGAAGAGCATAACGCTGGGAAATTCAGAATATCATAAGTACACAGACTTCCTCAAAAGTCAACCTTGTAACTTGAGAATTTAATTCAGCCTTTGTTAGTTTGTTACAATGTTTAGGAATAAAATTTAACAAAGTTGTAGGATCTTTTTCTTGTATACCAAATTGATATGGAACATGTTATTGGTTTGGTGGGCTTAAGGATTTAGGGCTGTTCAAACCTAAAGTTTAGGCTATGAGCAGTGCACGTGAATGGTAAAAGGAGATGAAGAATGTGGTTGAGAGGGAAAAAATATAAGAACCCTAGGAGTCACACCTAGGTACCTTTAGAAATCACACCCCTAAGGTTGATTGTTTCTCACAATCAAGATTGCATCACACAGTCAAAAAGTTAGGATACACCTGCACACAACTCTTACACACGTCACTTACATAATCTTGGCCATTCTCTCCACTGTGAGTGGTTGAGATTTATCACCACTGTTTAGATGAAAAAGATAATTATCTTTAAAAAATAGGATAAAAAGGGATAAATCTCAGTCATTCATAATGAAGAGATAAATGGTCAAGATTTTGGTTGTGTTTGTGATTGCTGTGAAGTGTCATAGCTTTTCTAGTGTTCTACTATGAGATAAATTATGTTAATGTTTGATAATTGCTTTAAAAAGAGTCTTATACATTAATGTAACCACTAAATTATACAAAATACCAATTAAAATTAGTTTAGTTATAATAAATTAACACTGTTATGAAGTGTTATGTGAAAAAGCGCTATGGGAAAGCAACCCTAAATGCAACTGTTATTTAAGTGGTGTGTAAGAGTTGTTTCATTGTGTTAGTGGATCCTAACTTGCTAGAAAATTTTGAATATCTGAAGTAATAATTGTTTAAATAAACTACAAGCGTATATATATATATATATATATATATATGAAGTACTAAGACTCCTAATAGATCTCTTATAATAAAAGACAAATACTAATAAAAGACTTAATTAGGCTCCCAGCTAAGATTTTCATCACTGGCCATGCACCAAACTAAAGCACGTGCTCTAGAACCAGCTTTGGCTTGCCTTTTGTAAACCTTTGGGGGTTGCTGCCAGTGTGCTCCTTCACAAAGTGTCCTAAATTGTGAAGGAAATTCCTCCTCGGAGTGTCTAACAAAGCTTGAAGATTCTAGGAGGCTAGTTTTGGAGAAGGGAAGAAATACATTTTGTTATGTGTTCTGACTCTGGATGAAATAGATGAGTAGTCTACCTCTAGCATGTTGACAGAAATTCCTTCATAGACAAATTTAATTTTAAGAGTATCTTTCGCTAGTGTTATGGCTAATGAGATTTTAAGTCATTAATTTCTTTTGACATGTCTTCACAGTAATCAAACTTTGTTCCCAAAGAGGTTCAATTTCTAGATTTGTAGTGTCAATTGTCAAGTCAATTGATACAAATTTGATTCCATAAGTGGAGGCATTGTATGGAGTTTCTTGATTTTTTTTATCTGCTCTTTTTGGCAGTTTCTTCCTTCTTTCATGCTTCTCTTGCATTCATATTATGTATCTTTTATCTGACTTTGAATCCTTTTATTTTAATTTCCTTATTTTGCTTTGATTCCAAGTAGCATAAATAATGGAATGCTATAAGTCTTGTTCTTACAACATCCAACAAGAAATCCTTTCTTCATCACTTCTAGTGCAATGACACACGTTCTCTTTCCCCTACATTTTCAGTTTATTGGCACTCCACATTGGATGGCTCCCGAAGTTATTCAGGAAAGTCGTTATGATGGCAAGGTATAATTATTAATCTGCATGGTATACCATGAGTTCCTCCTTTTTAATTATTGGCCCAGTTTCCTTATTTTCTGTCAAGACTAGAATTTTGACTTAATAGTTTGAATATATGTTGCCATTGTGGTCACTGTTTGTAAATGCTGAAATTTTTAACTAATAAGAGAAGACAGTGAAAATGTACTTTGTACTCTTTGGACTAGTTTGTGAAGCAATAATATATTAGGCCAATGGGAATCAGAAATTGTATGAAGACCAAAGCAGAAAAATGTTTGCCATTGATGAAAATGCTTATATTTGGCAGCAATGACGAATTTCATGGCAATACTTTTTTGCCCTGGTTTAGGTTTAACAGTTTTGTTTGAGCTGTTTAGTTTTGAAATGCACGTTGCATAAAATGTTTCTCAATTAGATATATATATATATTTTTTTATCGGGGAAGAAAGTTTATGCTTGGCATTGTAGGGATTTGAATATTATTGTTACCATAATAACACTGAATAGACTAATTTCTGGTTATCCTTTTTTTTTTTCCAGGTGGATGTATGGGCCCTTGGTGTTTCTGCAATTGAAATGGCTGAGGTATATTTATAAAGTGTGTTAATGATTTTGCTGCGACATGTAGAAGTTTGGAAAAATGGCCATTCATGGCATATGTCTCTGCAAAAGAGGGGAAGATTTTGTGCTGTTCAGCTGATTAGTGCATTAAATCCTGCCATGTACTTATTAATCTGTTAATTACTGAAACTCAATAATGACTAGTAACCTTGATTTACAGATATAGTCTTTGTTAATCTGTTAATTATGATATTGGAGGCTTCAGTATATTGACAAATGCTGTCTTTGTTAATCTGTTAATTATTTAAACTTAATAATGACCGCTGTCTATATCTTATCACTCTTTTGCAGGGGCTTCCTCCGAGGTCAGCAGTGCATCCAATGAGGGTGAGTACATGATAGCCTCCAAACCAAAATATGTTGGTCTCAAAGTATATTTGTTAATGCATTGCTTTTAATGGGATTCATCTCAATCTTCTTCTTTTTTAAGCTTCAAGTTATGACTAATGAAGTGCTGGATGGTTGCAAATATAATCCACCTAGTAATATAGATAATAGATTTCCAAAGTGATTCATTTTCAGGTTCTCATCTTTATTAGAGGTCTAGAGGAGCAGTCTTAATTTCCATACATGGATATATTTGGTAAACTATGGTTCATGTCCTCTATTAGTAAATAATTAGTATACTATTTCTTTTTCCTTTGAAGGCAAACTAATCTGGCCTTCACTCAAATTATCAGATGACATGGTAGCTTGAATTTTATTGCTTATGTTTCTGTTAGGTGGTCATGAATCTCTTCCTTTTTTTTTTTGTTTTTTTTGAGGTATAATGTCACCAAGTTGTTTCATGATATTGAAACATTTTCTGAATAGATGTCTAGATTCTTAATTTTCACTACCCTAGGCATCCATGTTTTATAAGGTGGCATAGAAGGATCTTTGTTGATTTTTAGAGGACTTCTGATCCTAGTTCTGATTTCTGAACAAAAAGGGATGTAAGATGAACCTAGGAACTTTTTGCTTCATTTTATTATGGAAGTAAACATGAATGTTGTTTAGTTGCTTAGAATACTTTCTCATTAACTCTTAGTTTAATAGTGTCATCATTTTGGGTTCTTAGGGTTCATGATAACACTTCCATGATTCTTCTAGTTTACATAAATTTATAATGAATCTTGAGTTGTTTAACATTTTTTTCTTTTAAATAATACCTCTTCTTATTCCATCAGTGCTAATGGTAACATATCTGTTATTGTGATAGGTTTTGTTTATGATATGCATTGAGCCGGCTCCCATGCTTGAGGACAAAGAAAAGTGGTTTGTTGCTGCTGTCTTTTCTATAATTAACATTTTAATAGCATTTTTTTGGTAGCTTGCAATTGGCTAAATACTTGGAATTACATGACCAAGTTTAGAACATGATCATTGCCAAATTCAAAACATTCCTATTTTTTAATGATTAACTTTTGGAAGAGGGCAGCTTTAGAGAGGGTAACAAAATGGGGTTTTCATTCTTTCTGTTTTTTTATTAGTGGAGATTTAACAACTTGTTCAAACATTGCCTTCTGTTGTCATTAAATTGCAACTAGAAGCTGACATGGAAGGATTTATAACCTTTTTTATTGAAAGTTTAATTATCTCTAAAACCAAACTTTACTAAAGTTCAAAGGAGATTGAACATAAAATGAGATTTTGGATGATAATCAACAGCTCCTTATTTTGCTACATGACCAAGCAATTTATTTCATTTACTTTTTGGCAATTTTTTTTATCAGTGGGAAGAAAGATAAATGGCCTTTATTGCTTGCCTTTCAAAAAAAGATCAAATTGCATTGAATTTTAAATTTCTCATGGATTCAAGCTTGATGATAATGCTGCCTGATTGCAGCCCATCTATTCCATTTAGTGGAGAATGTCATGCCCAATTCTTAATTCTTTGTCTTGTCATCAATTTTAGCATTTTGGAAATATATTTCTTTTTTGTGGATGCTTGTGTTCATAAAGTGTTGTAATTTTTATGCTGGGGGTATTTATGTAATTTGGTTTAGCTTGTTATGATAATCTCACAAGTTTAATTTTGTTTCTTGGAGCTCAAGTTGGTTTTGAATCTTGATTCAATGGTCAAGCAATGGTTAAATGTTCCTGTCAAATACTTGGGTGGTCTTTATATTATTTTGGCTTGAAATTATGACTATTAATTGTCAAGCAATAGTCTTGAGTAGTTTCGTTTCTTGAAATTATTTTGCTTTATTGTGGTATGGATGTCCCTAGGTTTCTTGTACTCTGTTCTCCTCTATGCTCTTCTTGTTTTCTTTGAAATTTGTTCTTCATTGAATTTGCTGTTGCTATAATAGCTCATGCTACTGTTGTGTATTCTCAATTTTCAAAACCCTAGTTTTCTCTGGGGCTGTAAATAAATTGAATCAAGTTGAGCTTCTTAGAACTTGAGCTTGAGCTCAATGCTACAGTGACGAGTCAAGTCAAGTTTGAGTTTTTATTGAGTTCAAATATATTGAGCATTCACTAACTCGAACTTGACTCGGGAGCTCGATTTATTACTAGAATTTAATTTAAAAATTAAATTAAGGTAAAATTAAAATTTTAAATATTTAATATATATAATAAAATTTTAATATAGTTAGTAAATTGAGAAAAAAATTAAAATTTTAAATATTTAATATATGAGTAGAGATCCACTTACACACAAGTTTTACGCATTACACCTACACAAAATCTCAACCATTCATCTATCCACTTTCAATAGTTGAGATTTATTCACATTTATTAAAAGAATTATTTTTTCAGCTTAAAAATCATGATAAAGCTCAACCATTGAAAATGGAGAGACGAATAGTTGAGATTTTGTGTAAGTTTGGTGTGTAAAATGTGTATAAGTGGATCCCTCTTAATATATATAAAAAATTTTTAATATGGTGAAGTTGAGGTGAATTGAGTTGAGCTGAGTCAAGTACTAACGAGATGTGGATTTCTCTTGAACTTGACTCGATTCAAGTTTTCAAGCTCAGTTTTGGGCTTAAAACTCAAGCTCAAGTTAAGTTGGTCCCAACTCAAGTTTGAGTCAAGTAGCTCACAACTACCTCAACTCATTCACAGCCCTAGTTTTTATTGTAGCCTTGTTTTTCTTCCAACAAAACCTCAAAGCCTAAAACCCTAACAGCATGTTTGGTTTGAAGTAAATGGAGGAAGGGGAGGGGAATGGAAGGATGTCGTATCCTTCCATTTCCTTCCGTTTCTCTTCCCTCCCCTTGTTTGGATAAGTAAAGGAATTAAAAGAAAAAATAAAGGACTTCCCTCAGCTACCCTCCCCTCCAATATTTTTGGTAACTAAATAGAGGAATTTTCTCCCCTCACCTCTATTCCCCTCAAACCAAGCATACTATAAGTTTTATATGCTCAAGTCATATACCATAGATTGTCAAATTGTCCAACATCACATTCAATATGGGTTTTACGACTCTGGGATTAGGCAGATTATTTTGCTTCAAATTAGATCTTTTCAACTTGCAGGTCTCTTGTCTTTCATGATTTCGTTGCTAAGTGCCTTACAAAGGATCCACGTCTACGCCCTACTGCATCTGACATGCTAAAGGTATGATAATAATTTTCTTTTCTGTTTTGATGGAGTTTCACTTCTTCATGACATTCAAGGAGTTGTTTTTTTCTGCATTTGCTTAAATTTTGAAGTGCTCTTATGGTTCAAAGGTTTAGACTTTGCTTGAATTCCTTGTCAAGTTGGTTACAGAAGCAAGAAGCTCTCTCTACCCCTCAATTTTACATTTTCCATGAAAATGCATGCTCTTTAATGTTGATTATTGATTCAAGCTTGAACTGTAATTAGTGTAAAGTGTTTGTGTCATGATCCAACTTGCACCTTTATGTGACCATAATCTTTAAAATTACCAAAAGATTTTTATTTAAAATAGCTTTCTGGTACTTAGAGACTCATTCAATTAATAGAATAAAGATCTCAACACAATTAAATTAGAGGCAGTGTTGTCAAAGACGTTTGCTTGCTTCAACTCCTTAAGTGGAGAACTGGAGTGCTACTGGTAGCCAGCACTTCACAAATACCTGAAGCGTTCAACTTGGGCTTGTAGCGCCCACTTGGCAGGGTAAGCTGATGAAGCGTGAAGCCCTTGAAGCATTGCTTCAGTTATTTTCTGAATTTGACAAAATTATCCTCACTTAAATTATAATGGGCCTTTAATTTTAGAGGGAAAAATGTGCTTTTCAACATTTTAACCTAAATAAAACCCTAAAACTAAAATCAAAACATCAATTAGTGTATATCTCTCCTTCAACTCCCTACTGTGTTTTCTTCAAGCTGTGCAATTTCAAGTTCATTCTCTTTTCCTTTTGGCTCTATTATTTTTGTCTCCTTTTGCTCTACGTTTTCTTTTTTCAATTTTTTTCTTTTTCCTTTTTCATTGTCCCTTAACTTTTTCTGCACTTCCCCTTTTTTCTCTTGATAAAATCATGGAATTTGCTTCATCTATGTTACATGCCTTGTCTTTAACAAAACTACTATCTGTTTTGAATATTATGTTAGTAGCTCTTTGTTAGTCTATTTCAACATTTTTAGTTTGTGATTATGTATTGCTCTGTTAGTTTGTTAATGAAGTGTTTTTATGAACTTCTTCAAAGCCATGTTTTATGTATTATGTTTTGAATAAACTATATACACCATTAGTTTATTCTGTACTGCTTTGCTTTCCACTTCATCACTTTATGCTTTTGACAATGATTAGAGGTTGAAAACATAAGGTTTAAGAACTAGTATGCTTAGGAAGTTTGGGATGGAGAAAGGGTTAGATTCAGTCCAAAAGAGTGTTGCAGAACACAGTGGCAGGTGGTCTGCCTAGGCACCACTGGATGTTTTATGATTTTTTATTTTTAATTTTCAAAAAAAGCAGAAAAAAATCTGAAAAATTGGAAAGAAATTAGAAGAAACTGAAAAAAATCATGTGTGACTAATTTATTTATTTTTGAAATTTTTTATCTTCTTTTAATTATTATACATTCCCACCTACATTTAGAAAGAAAACACGCACTGATTTTAGTAGTTGTTAAAAAAGAGAAAGTGTCTTGTTTTGATTTTCTGGTTATTAAAATTTAAATTGAACTGGTCCCAACAACAAGATAATATAATAGGATTTTTAATTTTTAAAAAATATAACAGAAAGTATGAGAAAATATAAAGAGAAAAAAATTAAAAATGTACAATTCACTGTTTTCTTTAGTGAGCTGGTTTTAGGGTTGGGTGTTTATAACCTGGCGTGTCTAGAGGCGTCAAGACTCATTATCCAGCTGTGAATTAGATAGAGTTGTTTGCTGGTGCCTTCTATGTAGCTTTCTGGTGTCATTTGTTGGATTACACCCCAATTTGCTTTCAGATCTAACAAAAAAAACCTCAGGTATATACATTAACATCGCTGCCTAGTGGGCCAGTCGAGGGTGTGGGGCCCCGTTTAGCAACTATTTGGGACCAGGCGATTGCCCAGTTTTGCAACACTGATCGAAAGAAATTTAAACTATTAAAATTGTTAAGAAAATTGAAAAAAGGAAATGCAAGAAGAGAAAATTGGAACAAAGTCTTCACAAATGATCAATTGAAAGTTTTAGGGTTTTTGACTCTTCTTTCAGTAAATAAAAAGAAAATCTAAAGACAAAATTGACCTTTAAAAGTTGAACTCCATTGCCTGAAACTGGGTGAGTTCTGTCTTTTGCTCAAAAATTCAAATAGTGGCTGCTATGGCTGCTATCCACCATGTAAATACCAGCAGCCACTATTGTGGAAAAAGTGGCTGCTATTCTTCCACGGCAACACTAAGGCTGACTGCATTGGCAGCCATAGCTAGCCGCTATGCTATGCTGCTATAGTGGCCACCATTGACAACAGTGCGGCATGTATTCTAACTCTGACTTAAAATTCCAGTTCATCTTTCATTTTATTGTATGTGTTGCATACTATGACCGGGTCAAACTTCTCTAATGGTTTCTACTTGCTTTTATTTTCAAATATAGGAACTTAACATACACCTACCTTCACAAAAACTTCTGTTTTCAAGTTCTTGTATTCTCTCTCTTAGTAGCTCCCAGCTATAGCTTTGCCTCTCTTGTCTGAAGTTAGAGTGAAAAGAGAGTTTTGAGCTGAATTCAAATTTATGCAGTACATGCAATAAACATACCTTAGTGCATAATAATTACACTCCATTAAGGTTCCTAAAAGGTACAATATGCATGAACCAATCCTCGTAACAAAGCTAATTTGGCATACAAATCAGCCAATCAAAGCATGCACTATTTTTTTTTTCTCAAGGTTTAAAAGTTCTAATAACTCAACAATTAAGGATATAAGTTTGAACTTAGAACAATTTAACAGTTTAGGACAAAACTTTCCTAATTTGTGCCATCAAGGGCATAAATTTGCTTGTAGGTAAGATTTTCCTATAGGGTTGGCCATAAATTTGTCTGTTGGCTTATGTATAGCATGATGTATTTTTGACTAAAAACAAATCTGGTATCATATCATCATGATTTGATCTGTTACTGTGAGGTTAGGTGATTTTATTTGTATTATTTAGCTATTAACATAAAATATCATTAGTAGAAAGAATTAGGTATTGTTTTAGATTCTGGTTTTTTGATCTATAGGATGATTAACTAGCAGAAGTTTTCATGGGCCTCTGCTTGCATGCATATTGAACTAAGGATTATTTTAATAGTTTAGAGAAAAACAAACAATAATTATCTCCTTTGTACGCCTATAACTCTTTTAGTTATTCTTTACCCCTTTAATTAGTTACCTTCAGATTGTTTGGCTTTTTTATTCTAACGTGAAGTTTTTCTTGAAATTTAGCACAAATTTATTGAGAAATGCAAATATGGAGCCTCTACAATGCTGCCGAAGATTGAAAAGGCAAAGCAGATTAGGGTTGCAATGTCTCTGCACGCACAAACTGTGGCTCCCTCTGTTTTAGAAGATAATGTATGTTTTCTCTTGCTCAGAATGCATTCTATCCTTGATCCACCCAAGCATCAACACTCACACATAAGCACTTGTGTGCTAGTGTGGATGCATGCTCTTATTCTAATACACAAATCTACAGATATACATTTGCGGGAATATGTAAGTAGAGAACATTCCCTTTGTCACTGGTCTCTTAAACTAAGTTGCTGAACTCCAACAATTAATTCTTATAAATGTTGTATTTTTTATTGGAATTGGATCAATAAATCACAATAAGAGAAGTGCTAGCAACATTCTTTTACACTTTCCTTTCAACACTCTCTATGTGATTGGTCAATGTGGCAGATCTTAAGTATTATTGGTTCACATGACAGGTTAATTTATTTAAAACTTTAAAATTATCTATATGTTGACTAATAATGAAGAAATGCATGCCACATGGACAAATGATATAGAGTGTTGAAAGGAGAGTGCAAAACAGTGTTGCTAGCACTCTTATTATAAACTCTCATCTCTGCAGGCAAAATCTGAGTGAGTTTGTGTTGCTAATAGGATTGTTCTAAACCAAAAGCAAGCTTCAAACATGTACTAATTATTTTTATTAGTTTAGATGATAGTGAATGGTTAAAAATGTTGATGTCAGGTGGGCACTAAATAAATAAAATTTTAAAATGAATTGACTGGTCACAACTGAACATCTATTGTGTTCAACATTTATTTTGCTTATATATATATGTAATCCTATTCTGACTATTCTCAGTTTGTAACAGTCGCTGGCAGGTCCAAAGTTGAATGAGGATTATGGAGACACTATTCTATCAAAGCCACATAAAATTGGTTTTCAAATTGAAGGTGAAGCAGTTGCAGTTAGCACTTTGAAAAAGTATCACATTTCAGATGATGCAGAACTGGGTGGAAAAGGTAGGGATTTCTTGCTTGCATTGATATATAATAATCTGGTGATTTTCTTGGGTAGATGATGCAGTCAAGGAAGAATAAATGGAATAATTACTTGAGTTACTTTGGCTTGTTATGCAATTACAGTTATTTAGGTATTGGATATTGGTTTGCAATTTCAATGAAAATATATAAGTAATGGTTATTTACTTTCCCATTTCTAGTGCAATTAGGTCTTTGTTTTTTTGGCCAACAATCAAATTATATTAAGTAAAACCATACCAAAAGTCTCACACAAACCACAGAGAATCTAAGGCAAAACTCAGTCACTGATTAAACACTGAGATAATAAACCAACAGATTAGGTCTTTATTAGAATCAATTTTTTGGGAAAGTATTATTAGAGCTATTAGTTCATTTAGAGTCTTTATTAAATAAGATTTGATTTTTTATTATCAATTCGGACTAGTATTTGCTACTTGTAAATGTCTCTTTGTACAGCAATTCAGTATCATTTGAGTTTTATGAAATTTTGGTGCTACTTGGGGAACTCTTGGTTCTATTACGTTCTTGACCTTTTTCTCTTCTCGTTTTTAATTCCTGTGCTGCAAAACAGTTACTTGAATTATTGTTTTGTAGCAACCCTCATCTTCTGCCAATTCCTATTTTACCTAAACTGGCTCCTAATCCCTATTTCATCCTGCATAAATTAACCAAATGAAAGATACACACAAATAATCGAATAAATGAATTGAAAAATTATCCCAGTGGAGAACTCATGGCAGAAATTACCTTCTAACCCATCCTGAATAAAGAAAAGGAAATAAAGGACAATAAAGGAAGAACATGGCAAGAAATATCTATCTTAAAAATTTACAGGGTATTTGATGTTAGTGATGTAGAAGAGCTTATTAAATATGCATGTTTTAACATATCTTGTGCTTTGGCCAATAATTAAAAAACCTAATTTTGTGCTTGTCAATGCACTAGTTTGCTTGTTTATTTCTCTTCTATGGAAGTTTAAATCATAAAGATTTTAGGAATAAACCAAATCATAATAAAATAAGAACTGCACATGGACTAAGATTTCTAATTAAGGCGTAGTTACTCAGACTATAAAATCTTAGGTATGACATGATAAACCCATTATACCATAAAAGAAAGGTTAAATGCCAATTTTGATCCCTCAACTTTAAGGTTTTGCACAATTTTCATCCCTTAACTTTTTTGTGCACTTTTTTGGTCCTTCAACTATAAAAAAATGCACTTTTTTAGTTATTATGTCAGTTAGTCTGTTAAGTTTGTCTAAATATGTATATTTTCAGTCCCTTAACTTAAAGTTGAGGGACAAAAAAGTTGAGGGACGAAAAATGTGCATATGTTAGAAGTTAAGAGACTAAAAATGTGCATATTTAAACAAACTTAACGGATTAACTGATGAAAGGACTAAAAAAGTATATTTTTAATAATTGAGGGACCAAAAAAAGTGTATAAAAAAGTTGAGGGATGAAAATTGTGCAAAACCTTGAAGTTGAGGGACCAAAATTAGCATTTAACCTATAAAAAATTTACCAAATAGGCAAATACTCATGGACATGAAAAGGTCCCCCAAAGAAACAACTATATTAATAAAATTGACAACTCAATGACTACCATTGACTACTTGCCCTTAGACAAGATGGCTTCTCTTCAAGAATTTTATCCCTAGTCTTCCAAGGAGTATAGTTCTTTTCAAACCAAGCTTTTGATGTATTGCATGCTAACATTAGCAATGGATTATATATACAATGTACCTATAACTGGAAGGTAACTATTAAATGAAGTTACCCAATTAGAAAGAAGTGTGTTTGTGTGTGTTCTGCTTGTAGGTTGATACATATCATAAATCTCATATGTAACTAAATATGCAGGGTAAAGAGGACAATTTTTTTCCATTTTTAAAATAAAATTCTCAGTGAATGTGACAACAGCTGGCTCTTGTCATGGATGATTCTAATCTTTAAATGTAATCATGTTGTACAGTTAAATAGCAGTAGTATTCACCTAATCAAATGTTATCAGTTATCACAAAATTCTGAGAAAATGATAGTGAACGAAGGGCTGTTAAGTGATGTGGTTTTTGGTTTTGGTTGAAAATTGAATTATCAAAATTGACAATTGACAACCGAAATTAAAAACAAAACTGAACTTGTCAAAACTGATACCAAAATAATTTTTTCTAATTTTTTTCACTTTTTCATTTTAATCTAATGTTGCTAAATTTTTGACAACCAAAACCAAAACAGCATCATGACTAAAGGGGCCCTTAGTTTAGTTTATTTATCTCAATTTTGCTGTCATATTGTGGTGTAATATATTTTATTGATTATGAGATTTATTTTCTATGAAGGCCTTAAGTCTTGCTTAGGCCTCTGTTCATTTAAAAGGTGTCAGTATACAACTAAAGAAATTCAGTTTTATAATATTTTTCTACTTCTATTCTTTGTCAGTTTTATTCACGAATGGATTGCTATTTTCTTGTTTTGTTCTACACTGATTTGAAATCTGTCTTTTAACAGGTGAATTTGGCACTGTAATAGTTCACAATGGGGATGAGATGGAGAAGTCATTTGAAAAGACACAGTGTCAGAATGCTACAAGGCCTTTATCTACTTCGGAGTATGTTGAAAGCCCTTCCAAGAATGCTATTGGCGACAAGTCTGCTGAACGCTGGTAATTATGCTGGAGTATGCTTCTCATGTTCAATCAATCCTGTATATGATTTTGCTTTTATCTTTAACTATTTTATTATTTTCTTTTTCTTGCAATATTTCCTTTTTTAAGATTTTTTTTCTCTTTGTCTTGTATCTTTTATTATAGGTATTTTTTTTTTCTTTTTGCTAATTATTTATTTATTTATTTTGATCAATCAAACTAAAAAATTATATTCATGGGAGTACAAGGGGTATGCCAATTATTTATTTGTTCAATATCATCTTTTATGTTTATCATTAGTTGAGTGTTTTTGGGATATTCTGTTGTTTGGATAATAAAAGGGTGATGCTGCTAACAGTTTTACAGTTGTAGAATCACACTACGAGACCAAGCAGACAGCTCCTTCAATTCCATTCTCATCTGTGCAGAAACCAAGAACAAATAACCCTCCTGCACAGAGTAAAGATGGTACTGATATAAGCTGTAGAACGTTGAAGAATGAAACTGTCAGCAAAAAGGCTTTCGCTTTGCAAGACAAGGTTGGTTTTTTTTTCCAGGGTTGTTATTGCACCAAATAGTAGAGATTTGGTTGGCACACTCCTCATTTGCTTTATCAGAGTCCAAAAGATTAAAACTTACTGGGCTTACCTTGGAGTCGGAATCAATTTATATATGTTGAGATTTTTTTATATGCATTTTGGATTCCTGTTTCTAAGTATCTTCATAGACAGGCTTATGAAAACTTATATTATTGGTTACCTGTGTGGAGCGTAGGGTTCAGTCACATACTTCTAAGTCGAGCACCAATCTAAATGAATGAAACCAAGTGAAATTCTGTGTTCTCTTCTACTGTATTCCTTCCAACCCTTCCTCTGAAAGAGGAAAAGCTAATAGGTCTCCAACCCTCCTTGAGGAGGCTGCCAATTGGTATGCATGGATGTATTGAGGTGGCAAAATTTAAAGAAAAAAAAAATTTACATGGAAGCATTGAGAATAATACAAATCCAAGATACGAAACTTTAATTTGAGAATTATATGATGACCTATTTGTGAAACAAATTAATCATTGACCCATTTTAAGTTAATCGAAGATATCTAGAGAGGGAATCAAAATGAACCTTAATTGGTTGATTGCCAGAGGGTTTCAGCAGGCATATAATGCAAACCGTTGATCTAGTGTCTTGATTGCCTTTTGTTTATTAGTTTTGTTCTTTGGTTCTTATGACTGGAACTTTAAACTTGGGTATGCCCAACTACTGTTTTTTTGTGGATATTAGTGGGGTAAAGGTATAACCATTCTCCGGGAAAAAAGTGAACCTTATTGCTTCCTAACTCTAATGCTCATATTCTGGCTTCATATCCATTTCCTAACCTCAAAATGTTTTCATGTGCCCTTCAATTATGACAGTTGACGCTGACTGAAACTTTGATGCTTCTGAATTGTTTCTGCAGCTCTGGTCAATATATGCAGCTGGCAACACGGTACCCATTCCATTCTTGAGGGCAACTGACATATCCCCAATTGCTCTCTTATCAGACAATGTGCTGGGAAACATGCAGCAGGGTAGTAATCAAACTGTTGCTGTGGAGGCACTTCAGGAACTTTTTGCTGGTGATGGACTGTCAAAGAGAGCTCGAAGAGTACAAAATGAGGTGACCTTTCTCCCTAGCTTTCAGTGTGTGCCTTTCAATGTGTGCATGGTCCCAGCAGAAGTTTTTTTCTTTTATCTAAATAACGATTTCATAATCCAAATTGCCTTTTAACTAAATTTTGTTTTATAGGGGCTTAACCTCTATTTAGCCCCCTAACTTATTGATTTTAAGGTTTTTGACCACCACTTAAAATTTGAGGTTATTAGCCCCTTAACAGCACAATTTGGGGAAATTCACCCTTATTTGACTCATTTAAGGCATGGTTCTCACATGGGCATTAGTCAGGCATCTTATCCATCCCACTTAGCGTGTCTTCTCTTTTTTACCTGGTGTGCCGTTGTGGCAATGGCAGAGTAGGGCCCCTGTTATATTGGGAGAGAATTTTCTGTTCATTGCCATTGCGGCATGCCATGTAGGGGAGAGGATTTTACATCTGACTAATGCCCGTGTGAGAACATGCCATCTATCAAGTAAGAGTGAATTTTTCAAAATCATGTTGTTGATGGGCTAATAATTTTAAATTTTTAGGTAGTGGGCAGTAACCATAAAATCTACAACTTAGGGAGATAAATAGGGGGTTAAGCCCTTTTATAGGAGTCAAAATGTCAATGAGACAGATTTTTTTTTTTAATGATTTCTGTAACAATCATTTCTTGTTTCTTTCAAATTGACCTTAGTTCAAATAACATGTAATAGGCCCTGCCATGAGGCATTGTCCTCTTTCGCCTGCCTTATGGTTTCGTCCTCAAATGGGCCCTCATGATGGAAGGGGTTGATCCTTATTTATAAGCCACAACTATCCTTGACTTACCTTCATTGTGTGATTCTAACCTCAATTTATTATTACATCATTAGGCCCCTCGAGGGAGTTGTGTCATGTATTGATTTGTTGGTGTACCGCTAGATTCCAATAGACACTGTTAATGTTGACACCAAGGATTTTGCCGCTTCTGCCTTGAGGTATTAGCCGCTTTGGCCCTAATCTCATGCTTTTGAGGACAATATCAAGAAAAGGTGTAGATAAAGATGTCAACTTTACCATTTTTTCTGTTTACGGATGCCAATTTTGTATTTTTTTCCTTTTTAAGGATTAATTGGATAGTGATACTAACATAGCAAATGCAAAGTTGATATCTTTAACTAACACTCTTAAATAGAAAAAGTTGAAAGTTTATCCTCTTAATTAAAAACTGGTAAAGTTTGCATATTTAAATGGAAAAATTTACAAAGGTGGTATCTTTATCTGCACCTCTTCCCGAACAATACTTTATGCTGTTGTGAGGCCATATGGGCCAAGGTGATAGCGCAAGGTGAGACATGGTGCAATCCTTGGTGTCAACATTGGCTCCTTTCGTGGGAATCTACTAGCACACTTCAACAAATCATTACACACTGCAATTCCCTTCAAATGGGCAAATGGTGTAAATGATCGAGGTTAAAATCTTCCATCAAAGGTAAATCAAAGATAGTTGTGACTTATAAGCAAGTCAACCTCTTCACAAAACCATGAACCCTATCGGCCTAGGCAGCCAATATCTTGTAACAGGACACAACGTAGTCCTTTTCAAATCCGTCTTTGTTATGATTCGGATAAGTTCGAAGATTCAATGATTTGACCATTTTTGGGTAATGGTACAGATGCCTCTTCCTCCAAGTGTTTACCAAAGACTGACTTCGAGCTCTACGTTAATGAATCTTGCACAGGCTTTGGCTTACCACAAAATGTATGCGACTGTGTTGTTCGTTTTTCCTCTTTTCAACGGTAGCTTGTTCTCAAATATTTCTTGCATTTGTAATAGGTGTTATGACGAGATGCCACTTCAGGAGTTGCAGGCAACACAGGAGCAACAGACCATTCAAAATTTGTCTGATACATTGCGGTCAATTCTTCGCTTGTAAATGGTAAATGCTGAGGAAGTAATTGTTTTGGTTTTTTTTTTTTTTTTTTCGGCCATCAATTAGTTGGTTTGGTTTGGTTTGGTTTATTTATGGGTTATTTGTAGTACTCTTCCACTATAAATATGATGCCGTATGGCATGCACTAGTGCTTCCTTTTTTTTCTTTTTTTGTTTTTTAATAACATTGGAGTTCGTTGAATTTTGAAGTTGCATGTGTATTGCTCTGATAACAAATAAAATGAAATGGTGCATCAATATGAAAGGTGACGATAGCTGTCATAATTCGTTTCAATCCTTGAAATTCGAAGTTGAGCCACGTAAGGTTGTTTGAAACTTTGAAGTGCAACCTCTGACCGACTAAAACAACGTGGCCCAATAAAAGAGGCAGTGTCGGGCGGAGAGTGCAGAAAGCGAGTGCCCCTAGCACTCCTCTTGGAAGTTATGCCAACAGCCATAAATGAGTGCTTAGAAGCTCTACAAGCTATTGAGGTCTCTAAGCTAATCCTAGCCGTGTCGGTCGCCAGACTCTACGGGTGGGCATTGGTCTTACTCGGTGCGAACTGAAATCGGGAAATGGTTGGCTGAATTTTTTTTCCTTAAATTTTAAGAAGTGAAAGGGAACCATAATTTAATTTGGTTCTTTGGTTTTGGTGCCATAATGGCTCCGTTAAACATGTTTCGCTTTGATGTAACCGAAACTTTGTTAACCCCAACATTCTTCAACCTGCAACTTCGAACCTATATATATTTTCATGCTTTTTGAACCATTTCAAGCCTTTTGTCTCTAAGCTGAAGTCATGGATGCATCTAGATTAACTAAACAACTACCAATATATAGATTATATCCACCTCTAATTTGAAGAATGTTAAAGTGATGCCATTACTACTCAATTACTCGTAGCGATAAGATTTTGGTTGAGCCTTTGTGGAGACCACTTCGTTCAAAAAATACCATTCAAGGTGGCATTGAAGACGCCCCTCAAGAAAATGAGGAGATTCCAATCCAAATGCACTTTCCTCAAGCTGTGAGATTTGGAAAATTTCTAGGCAATCAAGGTTAGATTTTAGAACATATGAAACAAATTGAGATTAATCTATCTTTATTACATGTGATCAAGCAGGTGCCAGCTTAATTCAAGCTGATCAAAGATCTATGCACAATGAAAAGGAGACACCATGTTTAGAAAATTGCATTTTTTATGGAACAAGTGAGTGTAGAGATCAAGCAGAAAACATCACCAAGTTACAAAGATCTAGGGCGTCCCACAATAAATGGCTTTGTAGTCCATAATTGACAAGTTTAGATTGGATTTTTTTTTTTTTTCTATTTGGGTATTATTTCGAAATTGCTTGGTTTAAGTCACTTTTTCTATTTCTAAAAGAGTAACCTAAACTTTTTGGCGCACATTACCAAGCATTGTGGTTAGAAAGATGTTTATTATATATAACATAGAGAATTCTCACATTTAAACATACTTTTTCCATACTCACATCTTTTGTGAGTGAGTGGAGAGTTGATTAAACAACTTATGAACTTTCATGGATTAGTTTTATTGGTTAATTGCTATTTAGAAGCCATTATTTGGTTAAAGGAATGTTTCGATGAAGCTAAAGGAAGTTTGAAAAACAATTGAAAAGAAAACAAGAGAGTTATGGCAATGTAATATGAATCCTTTGGAATAATTTGAGTGATATTATATTAGTTATGTGAGAAATTTCACACTTTCCTTGCTTTGTATCACCGAAAAAAAAAAAAAACAAAAACAAAAACAAAAAAGAAGACTTAGCAGAATAAAGTCTTCCGCAATAACACCTTCCATTAACGCAAGAAACAAACTTCATTTTTTATAGAACAATCTTTCTCACTAGGCTTGATTTGTATTCCATACTGCTCTCATCGATTGAATTCCTAAAGTTAGTTTGTAATAAGAGTAATGGAGTTCTGAACATATAGTCTTTCTATCTTCTAATCAATGTTTGTTTGTTAAGCAATAAAATTCAATCCATCCCTTTATAATGAGTTTCTTAGCATGTACGTGAAAAATTAGGTCAAAGGTAATAAGTCAAACATTTGCCACCTTCTGCATGGCTTTTGGGTAAAGGCAAAACCTACCCAAACGATATCGCTTTGCGTCGAAATTCAATATACTATCAAAATGAGATTCTTTCCATTTATGTGCAAAATTTAGGTAAAAACTAAAAGGTCTTAAAAGTCACGAACTTTTGCCGCCTTTTCGCACGACATTATGTGAAGGCAAAAACCCAACCAAATGCATATATGAAAAATAAGGTCACAACTAAAACATAATAAAGAATGCGAACTTTTGCTAAATTTTGTATGGCTTTTCGGTAAAGGAAAAAACTCACACAAACCACATTGTTTTGCAATGAAATTTGATTCAACCACACAAAATTAGGTTTGTAGCATTTATATTACAATTAACTATTGAGAAGCATCCCCATCCCTACAAAATTAGGTGGCTTAAGAAGGGTGGTGAGATACCAATTACATCACGTTGTTTGGTAAGTTTTACAATGAGGTGTGATCTAGAAGAAAAAGCTTTATGTGATGTTCTTCCGATGGATGCTGCACATATTCTTTTGGGTAGACCATGGTTATATGATCATGACATGATACACCACACAAAGCCTAATACCTATTCCTTTCACAAAGGCAACAAGAAACACACATTGCATCCTTTAAAGAAGGGTAATCAAACAAAGAGTTAACTAGCTGGGAGCAAGTTTGTTGGCTATTCAACTACTAAAAAATTGAAATTGAAACTAAAGGAGAAGTGTAGGAAGATGTTCTTGAAGACAGTTGGTGTTAAGGAAGTGAAACCAAGAAAGGCTAACTCAACCAAGCAATTTCTGGTAAAATGGTCAGATAAATGTCCATGTGATAGCACTTGGATTGCAGAGGAAAAATTCAGAAGAATTGGACCAGATAAACATGTTGAAGCTAACAAGTCTTTCAATTTGAATCAAGCTAAATTTCCAACCCAGGGAGAATGATGCAGGAGCATAAAGTTTTAATTATTTGTTTGAGTTCTATTTGAAATCTAAGGTTTAATTTTAGGAAAGTCATTTTAAATTAGGATTAGAATTAGTAGCTTATTAGGAGTTCATAGTATATTAAAAGTTCAAATTAGAATTGAATTAGGATTCTTGGCTATTGTTAGTAGATATAGTTATTCTTCTTAGATTTCAAAAGCAGTTTTTGTTATGAAATTTTAGTTTGAGAATAAACTTGGGGTTGAAAACCTAAGTTTTCTTTGTTCCATCTTTAATTTTACAGAGTTCTTAGTTTCTGGTTATTCTGCGCCTACCTGCCCTGCGTCAAACTTGAAGCTATTTCTGTATTCCAAATCTATATCAGGTTTAAAATATCAATCAAAATGGCACCTTATATCATTTCTCCTCACAAGACATAATGCAGTACGCATACTCAATATTGTCAAACAGCAAGAAACTTGAAAAAGATAACAGTATAATACAAGTATGTCAAGCTCTCTTTTTTTCTTAAAAAAAAATTGATATTATTAAACTGAGCCCCTGTTAGTTAATAAGTGTAAGTAGTCTCCTTGATAATTAGAGCAAAAAAAAGAGAGCATAATTTCAACCAAAAAAAAAAAAAGGTTTCACACTTTCCTTTTTCTAAGAAAAAATGTGAGAAATTTACCAGTGTGACTAGTGAATATGTGCATTGAGTCATCAGCTTCCTCTGCAAAACAGCAGAGAAATTAGAAGAAGTAATTAGCTCAATAAAGATGAAATATTCAATTCTCAAACAACACATACCTTCGACACCCATATTTTCAGAGTCGGAGTATTCTTCATCCTTAACATCAGGAAGATCTAAATCCCCAAAAAAAGAAAGATATCAATTTTAAGAATCATAAGAGGAAACTGTACGCATCCAAGTGGAGAGAGAAAAGACCTTCTTCGTTGACGGTCACTTCGTGGATGATATCGGGTTCGTCGAGGAAAACCTCACCCTGGTGGTCATCTTCTCGAGCTGGGCTATTCATCTTCCCTTTCTGTCCACCGCCGAAACCAACACTGGAAAGAGCCGCAAAAGGATTTTCGAGTTTTTTCCTCAATCACCGGTGCTCCCTGGCAACTTGTATTAAATAGTCCTTGAAGAATTCACTATGTAACAATTTAGTACCCAAACAAAACAAGAGAGAATCGATTTAGTCCAAAGAATCAAAATCCTTCAATCTTATTAGCGGAAAGAAGGAAAACTAAGTCTCACCTTGTTTCTCTGGCAAGAAGGTCTTCGATGTAGGTTAGGGTTTAGGGAGGCAAAAATTCTAGTGAGGGCTGGGGAAAACACATAAAAATGGGTAAGGAGAAAAGGAAAATTAGCCTTAGCTCCTTTTTTTTCAAGAGATTTTTTTAACCCCCTTAGGTTTGAAAATTTCAATCATTAGACCCAATAATAATAATTTTTCCTACATAAGTCCCTAACTTAAATTTAAATTCACTTGTACTAGTATATTCATGGTATATATATCTATATATATTTAAAATTTCAAAAATTTTGAGATATTACATCCACCCCTCTTAAAAAGGAGTTTTATCCCCAAAACTCAAATCTAAGATCATCTAGAGTAGTGAATGGTTTCACGCAATCTAAGACAAAACAAGTGCCCATCATATGACAAACCATCATAAGGCTGTTACAATGCAAAATCAATCGCTTAAATAGGATTATAATATAACTCCAAGCATATATACATAAAAACTTAAGCACCCATTGGGTTCTTTGGCAACCTATGATTTATAAGCTGCTCCACCAGCTTTGTATGAACAAAACATGGCCTATTACTCTCCCACTACACAACTTTGATACAAGTAATCTTAAAAGTAGAATACTAGTTACTTAGTGGGAATAACCAAGAAACTAATTTGCAAAGCAAGCTTCTACATGCTAGGGTGCTACAAAGAATACAAGGAGAAGAAGTAAATCCTGCCAAGGCTACAAAAGAACAATAGCTAAATTGTGCTATGAACACAAAATAAAGATGAGTTGGCAAAGAATGGCATGGAAAGAATTTTAATGTACTAACCAAATTGAGATCTAAATCATGGCCTCCAACACAATGGCTAGCTTCATGAAATGGTAGCTCAATATTCTTGAGAGTACTAGTGAAAATCGAGGAAATGATACGAACTATGCCAACCTGTGACGAAACCTGTAAACAAGACAAAACACCAAGACCGTTTCTAAGACAAGTTCGAGAGGATATAACCGCGACCTATTACGTATGACGAGGTAAGAACCTTGGTATGGAAAAGACGCCACAATCAATTATGGAAGGGTTGATTGATAAGTCGAGGATGAATGCCACGGATAATTCCGATAAGTTCGAAATGTTATTCAAAGAACCAGAATCAAAGAGAATTCGTTCTCACAATGTTGATGGATAATGATCTGTTTTACAATTAGGGTTGCAGCCCTATAAATAGCTAAAACTAATCCTAACCAGAATAGGAAACTAATAAACCAGGTCCTAACCACGAATTTGGGATTCAACTAAATGAATGCTTAGCCCAAATAACACAACGTAAAAATGAGCTAAAATAACCTAAGAACATTGTGAAATATTAGTTTGTGGCCAACTACGGTAGATTTGACGCAAACTGTGTAATTCAACCCAAGAAAGAAAAACTTGGCATGCAAGCCAAAACCCAAAAAGGAAAGTAATAAATTTGAGCCAGAATACTTGCTGAGTTCACGCCCAAAGCTCATGACCATTACTTGCAAAGATTAGGCTTGGCTTTGATAGAGTCTTCTAGACCTTGGACTAGGCTGATGTAATTCTGAGGCTCACTTGGACTTCCCTCAATGGGCCTCCACGAATTTGCTTGAGTCCATATTTCTTGAATCAGCCCGTTAAGTGCTTCCTTGAACTTCTTAGCTTGAGCCCTCGTAACTAGTCCAACGAGAACTTGAATTGAATCCTTTAAAGTCAAACTTGGATTTACATCATAATACACTTTAGAAAAAGTCACGTGGAAAAATTTCCCCACTACTACAACAAAATTTTGGTTAGCAAAGATATGTTCGAGGGTATAACTTAATTCAAGAGTCTAGGAAGACCAAGAAAAACCAAATCAAAGGAACCACAAAAGATCTAGATTCTTCCCACATCAAATTGAGTTCCAAAATAACTACCTCTATAACTAAAATTAGAATCCAATAACCTACATTTATTCCAAGCTCTAGGGTAAGACATCAAGAAAACTAAAACCATCCTAAAATGGTGTCTCTAGCTTGAATTTAAAAGACAAAAATATGGAAAATGGTCCCAAACTTGTACAAAATTCTCAATTCCAAGCCTAAACTTCAATTGCGCTCAATTAAGGTCCCAAACTACATGAAATTCTCAAATAAAGTCCCAATTGAATGGAATATTCTTTTGCTGTCAAATATCTTGGATGTCAGTAACCATTCAGCCAACTGGATTGCCAACATGGAAACATATTAACATGTCATTACCACGTGGCATGACAAGGATTCTCCTTTGATGTAAATCCAGGTTTGACTTTAACGGATTTAATTCAAGTTCCCATTGGACCAGTCACGAGGGCTCGACCTAAGAAGTTCAAGGAAGCACTTAACGGGCTAATTCGAGAAATATGGGCTCAAGCAAATTCATGGAGGCCCATTGAGGGAAGTCCATGTGAGCCTCAGAATTACATCAGCCTAATCCAATTTCTAGAAGACCGATGAAAACCCTAAAGAGAACAATGAGACCCACAGCACGACAAGGGATTTCTAAACTCCAGGAAAGCTAAATCAGGTTTATAATAGGACCTTGACCCGTTGTTTATGTCGCAACAAGAACCAAAGGTAAAAAAAACCTTGACCCGTTGTCTATGACGCAA